GAGAGCCCTGCTCAGCCCCAGCCCCATCTCCAGTGGAGCAATGACGCCGAGGAGACCTTTCCCTCGCACTGCTCAGGGATGCGCCGGATCCTGGCTGCGGCTGGCTGCCAGCCAGACCTCCCGAGGGCCCAGGGGGCTGCTTAAGCTCATTGCTTTCCTTTCAGAGGCTTCAGAAAGCCGCCTGCCCACATTTAATTCAAATTTATTGAATAATTCTCCTGGGAACAACTAGTTCAGGACCAGCCACTACAACAGACCATCAATGAGATCGGTTGGCACGGCCCCGGCCGTGGAGCGCTCTGTCCCCTCCAGCACAGTTCCCTGGCAGTGCCAGGGTGATGATGGTGGGCACAGAGCCAGGCACCTGGCCCAGGGCAGCCTTGGCACAGCTCTAAACCCGGCTGCCTGCATTGCCTCCGGCCCCAGGGGATGTTCTGAGGTCTGTTAATATCCCTCCCACTTCCACCCCAAACCTGCTCCTGCCTTTGAGCCCTGTTCCCTCGGGCAGCAGTCCCAGAACGGGGCTCAGCCCTCACCTGCCTCCAACGCCTCTGCCAGGGCGGTGAGAACAACCTGCCTGTGGGGGTGTGTGGGTACTGCTGGATGCCCACCCTGCTGTGCTGGGCTCACGTCCTCCTTCAGGTGCTGCGATGGCTTTGGATGGCCGGGTTTGCAGCCAGGGCTTACATCTGTCTTGGGGATTGCTCTGCTGGACACGGGGGAAGCTTCTGGAACCTTCTCACAGAAGCCCCCCCGCCACCATCAAAACCTGGCCACACCAAGAGAGGTACAACAACCTGGGCAGGAGTGGGGACATGCCAGAGCCAGGCTGGGAGGGCAGGGACGAGTCCCAGCGAGGGGGCTGTGAGGGGCTGGCAGGTTTTACTCCGTGCTCAGCCCCAGGCAGAGTGGGGGGCGTGTTGTGCCCCTCCTTACGGCATCCTGGGGGCCGTTCCCAAGGAGCTGGCTGTCCCCATCCCTCGCTGCCCTGCAGCTGTGTGCCTCCTCCAGGGCAGCCCTCCGTGTGCCCGCTCTTACGCAATTAGCCACCGCTCGGAGCCAGACTAATGACCATCATTAAGGAGCGCATGGCGGGTGGGTCAGTGCCGCTCGGGGCATGTGCAGTCATGCAGCAGCACTGAGTCACGGCTCTGCTAATGATGCTGAGCCCTGGGGACAGCGGGGACAGCGGGGACAGCAGCCTCCCTGGGCAGCACGTACAGGGCAGGGCCGTGCCACCCTCCGGCCATCCCCCGTGGGGATGCGGGACAGGCCCTGGCACTGCTCAGCCTGCGTTCCTGCAAGGTGAGCTGCCAGAGCCTGGGAAATGGCACCTGCGGCTGCGATTCGTCCTGGAAAGAGCAGGAACGTCCTGGAAAGAGCTGTCAGCTGTGAGCTGAACAGAGGGGACATGGAACAGTGTCCTACTAAACCCCACATGTGTCTGTTTGTTTTAAACACATTAGGACCGAGTGCAGCGGGCTCGGGTTTGCCCCGGGCAAAAGAAGGCGCTGCCTTGGGGCTGTGCTGGCCAGCGTTAAAAATGGGATCTGAACAGCGGAGCGGGGGTCCCAGGGTCGGTGTGATGCAGCAGAGCATCGCTTCTCGTGCGGCCGTGCTGCCGCGCAGGAAAGCACAGGGGAGCGTTTTACAAGCACAGCCGAGGAGCATTTTTCAAACTCAGCCTTTGGATGCTCCGCAGCGGCTTTGGGGCCGCTCGGTAACGTAGGACAGACGCGGCGGGTGGGTGGGAGCAGACTGGAACAGGCGCTCGCTGCTCCAGGCGGTGCCCTGGAGAGGCACTGTGCGCGCTCCCGCGGCCGGGAAGGCAGCCTGGAGCTCGCCCTGGGCAGCGGAGGTGG